CTTCTTTCCCATTGACTTCAAAAAGCCCAGGGAACTGTACAATGCCCTGTCTCATGTGGCCAGCTTCACAAGCCCTTGGCCGAAGAGCAGCACACTGTGGCAAATGACATAAGTACCCCCAATATTCCATCGAATGTTTCCACAATCTCCACTTCCCAGGGGCTCAGAGTGCATAAAACCTCCACCCAAGCTATTACTTGGTTTACACACAAATTTTCTGGAAGGTCCTGCCAGCACATGACAAAGAGAATGACAAAAGCTGCTGCTGACTGCATTGCTGTGAACACTTTTTAAGAGGGGCAGTTTTCGTCTAAGTCTCTGTCAGATGGAAGGTATCTTTGTAACTATTGAGCTCTGAGGCTTTGTACTTGTCTCTTTGTAACTTTCAGCTACCTTGCCTTTTAAATTCTGCAACTTGTTGTAAGATTGTTGAGCTTTGTAACTCTCAGCCACTTTGCTTTATAAGTTTAAAACCTACTGTAAGCTTGGTGATTGTTGAGCTTTGCAACATTGTAATCTTTTTAACTCTCAGCCACTTTGCTTGTAACTTACTCTAAACTGCAACCACCCTGTGAGTGAGAGAGAGAGAGAGGAGTGTGTTTAGGGTGAGGGAGACAGCAAGGCTAAACACTAAACACATAGAGCCAGGAGGTGACTAATTAAAGACAACTGCTGCCCTAAGCAAACAAAGGACCAAGATTGAGGGAGATCTGGACAAGCTCCTTGGTGACCAAAGTGGAGGAAGGACCCATGCATGAGTGACAGGAGCTGCCCAGTTCTTATAAAAGGAGCAAGCACCTGGCAGAAGCCCTCTTTCTGACCAGCTCAAGGGCCAGGATCCATGGCTAGCGGCAAACCTCCAGAATCAACATAACATGCTTTGGCTTGCTCTAAAAACCTTTTGCCTATGTAAGTGTGTGAGTGCCTGAGGGCATGAAATTGCGTGTGTGTGTGTGTGTGTGTGTGTGTGTGTGTGTGTGAGCGCTCACTCCCCTTCAGTTTAACCCTCTAGTGGCATTCAATGACAGCTCAGTCCCCTTGAGTTTAACCCTGTAGTGGATTGTTAATTCTTCATTTAATAAATCCATAGTAGTGTAACCCTGGGGTGGTCTCCAGTGAAACTGAGGTAACACCCCCAACGTTCCCTCAGAGATTCGACGGATGTGAGTACTTCTGCTCCCATGGCCTCCACTTCCCAGGGGTGCAGAGGAGCTTCAGCATCCCACACTGATGGTGGTGAAGCGTCCCTTGTGATGCATGAGCACCTGTAACACCATGGAGAAGAGTATGCCCTTGCAGTTGATGTACTCGGAGGCACATTGCTTGTGAGCCAGGATGGGGAGATGAGTTCCGTCTATGGTGCCCTTGTAGTTTTGGAAGCCCACAGCAGCAAAGCTATCCATCATGTTGTCCGCATTCCCAGAGTCATGACCCTCCATAGCAGGATGTTATTGATGGCCTTGGCTACTTGTATGAGCACAGTCCCAACTGTCAATTTCCCCACCCCAAACTGGTTCCTGACTGAGCAGCAGCTGTCTGGTGTGGCAAACTTCCAGAAAGCAATGGCCATGCACTTTTGGAGAGACAGAGAGAGCGAGAGAGAGAGAGAGCAGGTCTCAGGTGTGTATCCTGTTACCTCAGGAAGGGGCAAACCATTCACAGAGTTCTATAACTACTGCTCATCATCCCATCTCTGCATGACGATGTAGTCCCACCAGTTGGAGCTCATTTCACGATGCCAGAAGTGGTGTTCCACTGTGTCCAGGGGACCGAGTGGTGGGCACTAGTACTTGCCAGGGCTTCCATGGCATGCCGAACTTTGTCGTCCTCCTCCTCTTTCTGGTTTTCCTCATCCTGTTTATGGTGGAGCAATATGTGGGTACTCTCTAAGATCTGCACCATGAGGCACAGAGTGAAAGCCATGAGCATGGCAATGTTCTACAGCACCTCAAATTCCATGATCAAAGTGCTGTGGCATCCACGCGGGC